GTTGTTGTTTTTTTATTGGTGGCATTTTTTATAGATTCAACTAAAGAAATTGGAACAAATTATGTGTTTTTGCAGCAGGCTGCTAGTAACTAAGTAGCTAAAGGTACAATTTAGAACACATTGCTGCATCTATTCCCAATTTCCACTTCTACATATAAAGAAATGAGTGATTGCGCATGACTTTTGCTTGTATCTCAGTTCTTGGAGTGCCTCCCACTATTGTATCTATGAAATCGTCTATTAAACCCTTTGCAGCCCCTGAGGTCACATTTATGTTGGGAGAAACTGGAAACATCTGTTAACCGCACTGGATCAGACAGATCGTGGTGATACTGCAGGCAGTTGGCAGTAAACTGACCCTATCGCCCCAAGCAAAAGAAAAAAAAAAAACCACCCACAATTAGCATCACACAGGAAGCAACAAGCACATGATGTATGCTGTGCCAACACCGGGAAAAATCACAATAGCGGGCCAAGTGACACGCTTTCTGCAGTCCATGAGCAGTTTCAGGGAGTGGTTTGTTATTGCCGGCCTGTTTTTGGCTCCTAATGGTGATAGGATCATCATCAACCGTCCACTTGTCTGGAGCAAACTCATTGTGTGCATTGTTTTGTTTTGTTTTTTTCGTCGAAACGCCTCCTTTTCCTGCCAGCTGAGTCATGTCACACCGGTCGCGCTTTTCTTAGCTAAACAAAGCAAGTGTGTGAGTATAAAAAATAAGCATGTAAAGCTGACAGGACACAATTAGTTTAAGTGTTCTCAAAAAGGCCAGCTTTACCCCCCGCCAAAAAAGCTCTTAATATTAATTGTCCCAAAAAGCACGGTGTATCTCGTTCTATTTATTTATTGATATATTATAAATAAATATCAAAAGGAATGTAGAGTATCCAAATTACGAATCTGATCAAATAAATTCCTAAAGGACAAAAATAAAAAATGTCGTTCTCGTCGAGATAAGCTGAGATATTCGTGGAAAAATAAAGTGCCCCGTCCACATGCTTGGTGAAAAACGATCACCCAGCTGCTCAGAAAAGGTGTGCCGCCGGTGTGACGTCACACTCCTACCTGAGTTTCGGTGTGGAAAGGGAAGGACCAAAGGAGTGACGAACATCAGCCATTCTGAGCTCCAGCTCTCCGCCTGTCGTTGTTATTAGTCGCCTTTCGTCGAACCGGTAATCGGTGAGTTCGCTTCGAGGGGAGATTGGTGGGGAGTTTGGACCCACCGAAGCGCTGTTATTTCCAGCTGCTGGTTAACAGGCCGACGAGATCTCCAACTTCCTGCTTTGCCCACAGGTATGTGTGTCGTCTTTTGTTTTCGTGTTTGCTTGCGTCGGGTGTTTGATTTTTGGACTAGATTGGACTGACACACAGATACTGCACTTCACATATTATTTAAACACACCGTGCAAAATCGTCATACGAGGCCTAGTCTGTAAGTAATCTGGCAAACAACTGAAAGGTCGCTCCGTCTGCCAGAGCTGAAGTCCAGCAGCTCTAAAATGTTTGTTTCCCCCTGATAAGTGCTGCAGCGTAGTTTGCCGTGGGGTGCACTAAAGATCATGGGGGGATGTGGGGGGGTTATTAAGACTTCTGAGGGCGGACTGATTTCACTTGGGTTTTCTCGGCAGTGAGGATGGCAGTCACCCCTCGGCGTGTCCGCCTGAAGCCCTGGCTGGTCGCGCAGGTGGAAAGCGGGCGATACCCGGGATTGACGTGGCTTGACCGTGAGAACATGCGCTTCAGGATCCCATGGAAACACGCCACACGGCACACACCCCAGCACGAGGATGAGGACACCATCTTTAAGGTAAAGATTCACTAACAGAGGGGTGTCTGCCTGTGTGTGTGACTTTATTTCTTATACCTGATCAGAACTTGTACTTCTGCAGAGACAGTGAGGAGGTTTAAGCAGGGGTTATGCTAATTCATTCCTGGTTAATATCCTTTTAAAAAATACCCTCTAATAATAATAATAATAATAATAAGTAGGACTTTTAATAAAACGTCTGGCTTTGCAGTCCAGTTCTATTTTGTTTCTCTGGGTCATGTTGAATGAAACTTTATGTAGGTGTTTTATTTTATTGTTCTTCTGTAAACCTACCAAATTAAACAGGAGAGGCATAAAGGGAAAAGGTTGTGGCTCATGAGGTTGTTTTCTTTTCTTAAAAAAAATAAACAAGTAAACTTTTTTTAAAGAAAAGAAAACAGAATTTGATCAGCATAAACTTTGTTGTGACGAGGTGTGTGTATACCTCGTGAAAAATTGAGCCTCTGGGCTAGAGTCTTTTCATTCTGACATAGCTGTGAATACATTATACAGCTGTTTCCTGACAAACATGCTGACCCAGCATCACTCAGTAAATAAAGAACACTGGTTTTATTTATTTTTTGTGAGTGCATACTGTGCATAAATAGAAATTAAAATAACTGTGTGATACTGATCCCTTCATTTGGTCTAAATATTCCCCCAGGCATGGGCTGTGGAGACCGGAAAGTTCCAGGAGGGAGTTGACGAACCTGATCCTGCAAAGTGGAAAGCTCAGCTTCGATGTGCCCTGAACAAAAGCAGAGAATTCAACCTCGTCTATGACGGCACCAAAGAGATCCCCATGAATCCTTGGAAGATATATGATGTCTGTGACATCCCTCAGCCCCTCAGCAACCACGGTAAATGAGAGCTCTTTGATGCGGCTCGCTTTCATCTTTCTTCGTTCATCTTTAATTTTGCAGTATTTGCCACCTCCCTCACTCCGCAGGCTCTTCAGATGCTGGCCCCTGGACACCCGGGGATGATGATGGTCTTGAGGAAGATATTCCAGATACTCCAGAGTCTCTGCCTCCATACCCATCTAATGGTGAATGGCTTTGTCTAAAAACATTACACCTGTTTCTGCAATGTCCAGTTTGATTGCTTATTAACAGTAAATGAATTATTTTCTTCGTGTAGGCACCCCCTCTCCTCTCATTATGTGGTCTCCGATGGGTTCTGAGTCATCCATGCAGCCTCCCAGCTGTCCCCCATCAAACGAGGTCTGGCCCAAAGAGGAGCCTGTTAAACCCTGGCCTAAAGAGGAGCCCGTGGATGTGGAGATGCAGCAAACGACACACGACATGCCCCCAGTTACTCTGCCCGATCCGTCTTTGCAGCCCCCTCCCCTGCCCGACGGCTTGTTTGCCTCTCCCGAAATGTGGATCAGTTCCCTTCCAAGTGAGTGTGAACTGTTGCTAAGACACGAGTCTTGCACCTTCTTGCTTGGCAGACTTCAACTTAAAATAACAATTTGAGCTTTTTGTTGTGGCAGGCTGAGGTGTAGGGGATACCTGCTGTAGCTCCCCAAGTGCAGTTGAACTTCATGACATTTGATTGGTTTAAATTAGGAAAATATAACATCAGAAAACCTCTTCTCTAGACAGCAATACTTGCTGGTTTTATAAAAAGATAGTTTCAACTCCTCTGCTTTAAGCTTGAAGATGTCACTATTCCTGTTGTTGTTTTTAAATAAACAGAACTTTTTATTAATTAATTGAGAATATGTGTCCAGTATGTGCACCATGGTCGTAAAATTGAAGTTTCTGCTTCTCTGTGACCTCTCCTTTTTCAAAAATTAAGCTTAGTTCTTTTTCTGTTTTTACCTAAAATATAGTTTTATTGCATTTTCCTTTTTAACACGCTTCCACCTTCATCTCTGACCCAGTGACAGACCTGGAGGTGCAGTTTCTTTACAGAGGGAAGGAGATGTGTCCTACAGCGACAGTCAGCAACCCGCTAGGCTGCAGGCTGTTCTACGGAGACCTCGGGCCCATGGTCAATCAGGAAGAGCTGTTCGGCCCAGTGAACCTGGAACAGCTACGCTTTCCGACCACGGAGCACATCACCAATGACAAGCAGAGGGTCTTCACTAACCGCCTTCTGGACGTGATGGACAGAGGTCTGATCCTGGAGGTCAGCGGCCACGATATCTACGCAGTCCGTCTCTGTCAGTGCAAGGTGTACTGGTCTGGCCCCTGCGCTCCAAATCCAGCTGCTCCGAATCTCATAGAGCGGCAGAGGAAGGTCAAACTGTTCTGTCTTGAGTCTTTTCTCGCTGGTATGTATTAATGTCACTTCTTTTTAATAAATGAGATACAATGTGTAGTTAAGCATCTTTACACTGACAAAAATGGGAGTTTCAGCGGTTTGGCCCATGCCTTAAGATCAAGGTGGGCAGGTGTGGCCTGCAATGTAAAATGAGTTTGAGCACCTGTGGAAAAGCATTTTTTTTATAAACATATCTTTTTTGTTTGCTGTGCAGGTGTGATAGCTCAACAGCGTGGCCAGGCACCAATCACTCCTGACTATGAGATCAATCTGTGTTTCGGGGAGGAGTGGCCAGATGGAAGACCCAAGGAGAGGAAACTTATCATGGTCCAGGTAAAGAAATGTGTAACATAATTTAATGGTCATCAAAGGACGATGGAGTCGTGTCATCGCATCACGCAGAAATAATTTTTGAGTCTTTTTGCCTATAAAATGTCACTAAGTCATACAAAATGACAGCCAAAAGTTTAAAGAATCTTAAGAAACCAAAGATGATAAGTGTTCTATCTTGAAATTTTTAAACAAAGAAGATTGCGAAGTGTCTTTTCCCAACACTTAACGGCCCTCTTTCACCCTGCAGGTCATTCCAGTGGTGGCCCGAATGATAAGTGAGATGTTTTCTAGCGACAACACGCGATCACTTGACAGCGGCAGCATCCGCCTCCAGATTTCCATCCCAGACATCAAGGATAACATTGTGACCCACCTAAAGCAGCTTTACTGCCTGCTACAGACCCACCAGGGCCCGGAAAACTGGGCGTTGCCACCTGGCTCAGCCCTGAACATCCCCCCAGCACTGCAGACTCAGTGAAACGCGTAAACCTGTGAACTAATAATCACCGATCAGCCACAACATTAAAACCACATGCCTTATGTACAGTGTAGGTCTCTGTTGTGCTGCGTAAACAGCTCTTGCTCGTTGGGAAATGTACAGGCGATGTCTGGGTGTGTCCTGGGATGTTGGAACTGCGTTCTTTGTGTCCTGTGTCAACTCCATGGGCTCTTCAATTAAAGTTACTCGAGTGGTTTTTAAGCACTTTCCACCGAGTCATTGCCAAAGTAATGTAGTATTGTGTATAGAACAACCTTTAGGGGGGAGGTACACGTCAAAGTAAGATGAACGGGCTGAATGATTCCCAGCAGACTGTTACATTGTAGCAATGATGTCATTCACATCAGCTGTCAGTGGTTTTAATGTTGTGTCTCATCGGTGTTTATCTACACTTCATCTGACGGTTACCTACTGTAAGCAGGGAACTGCTTACAATCATATTCAGAAGTGTACTCAATACTGTAGGATTTATACCCTTTTCAAATTTTCTCTAGTATAAATGTGCCGTGTTTGTGCTTTTCTCTATAAAAGTCGTGCCTTGAAGCCTGCATTACTCAATATCTGCAGAAACCACAGACTGATGCTGTGGTTTCACTGGCCAAAGTCCTGCTTGTTGCAAGGCAACATTTAACAGAGTTAATGAGTTACAGATATCACGCTGTGCCTTATTTATCCTGAAAGGGTCCTAGAGCCTGCTATTCATGAGGGGCAGAATGCTTTTTATCGTTTTCAGTTTAAATATTTTGAAGCTACGTGTTTAGCGCGAGATTTATAGATTTTGGAAAAATAGATAAATGTGAATTAAAGTTTGGATTAATAGATTTTTCTACAGTTCATGCATGACTACAGTTCAGTGGTGCCCAGCTACTTGAGATCGGTGTGGAAAAAAAAAAAAAAAAATCTTTGTTTTCTTTTTATATGTATGAGTTTCGTGGTCAGCTGGCCCATACACAGCAAAATCTCCAGTGTTAAATAAACACTAGAGAGTGTCTATATGGGTCCACACCTCTGAGTGTTAAATTAACACTCAACAGAAATGCTGCAGTATACGGTCATATGTTTTAGTGACACCCAAATGACCTGACTGTCAGAGATTTACAGTTAACAAACAGTCAGGTGAATAAACAACAATGAGACACTTGTGTAGGTTAACGTGCTGCACGGGTGAAAAGCTCAGAGCAAATCACACCGAACTGCAGTATTCGTTTATTTTTATAGGTTACATCGTCAATATGCAAATATAATCACATTTCCTGTCCCGCAGGTCCTGGTGTGTGTGTGTGTGTCACAGAGTATGTGTGTTGCAGGTCAATTTCTAAGAATAATATAATGCAAGTCAACTTCTGCGGATATGTATTTCTGTGCTGGTCTCTTGTCAGTGTCACAGGGTCAGCTTCCTGTCAAAACAGAAAACTGTCTGGTGAAATATGTATAACATAACTTTTGAAGCATAAGCAAATAAAACAATAAAAACTCCCTAACACTGACCATGCATGATCATGTGCTAACTGTAGCACATGCCACCGCAGACTTGTCGGAACCACCATCTGCCGCACTGCGCTCCAGTCTTCTCCAGGCCTTGGGGTCCACTTGCGCATCAATAAACCTTCCCAAACGAAAAATGTCTGCTTCTTGCTCCCCTCACCACCCTTATCCTGAGCTGCAGCAGTAAAACACTTAACTAATGAAGGGTCTTCTTTCTGAGCCTTCACAAGTGCTTCCCGGGTGAGCAGAAAAGGAGCTCCAGACTCAGGAGCTGGCTCAACCACACTTTGAGCTGCCTCTAAGGCTCCATTATCTCCCTCATCAGTACAGGGCATCACATCCTTCTCTAGAATAGAGCCAATCACTGATTCTGACAAATCAACCCCCCCACCTTGTTGCTGGGCACGTGAACGAGTCAGAATGCTCACCGGGAACACATCCGGGTGCTGCAGGCTGAGGCCATCTAACACAGGCTCTATAACAGGATTGTTGGTCACCTCAGGGGTAGGATAAACTTTCCCACCCGCGATATCATTTCCCATTATAAAATCCACCCCATTAATCGGGAAAGAAGGCCGCACACCCACTGAGAAGAAACCACTCACCAGCTCACTCTGTACCCAAATACGATGGAGGGGAGCAGGCACAAAACTCATCCCAACACCTCTTACAATGATGCTAGAGTCACAGTCAGACTTCTCATTAATAAATTCAAGCACACTAGCTAGTATGAGGGACTGTGAGCCACCAGTATCACGCAGAATGGTCACTTCACGCTTATCCTTGGTCTTACCAGAAAGCGAAACTGTCCCCTTAAAAATGAAGGGCTTAAAACACTCATCCGGGGTCTCAGGGGAGGGGGGCCTACTGACAGGAGGCATGGTTTTTAATCAGCCCGACCCCTTTTGGTTTACGTGAAGTCGAGACTGATTGTTTCCGTTTATAAGCTTCACAATCTGCGATCAGGTGGCCAGACTTAAAACAGAAAAAACACTTTCGGTCTGCCTTGGGACGAAACACAAGTACCTCACTCTTTGGGTGCTGTGCAACTGGCACCTCGCTAGCCTTCACTGGGGCATCGCGCCGGTCATACCTACTGACACTGGTTTTATGGACGAGCGCAAACTCATCAGCCAGCGTCGCAGCCTGCTGTAGCGAGGAAACCTTCTGTTCATTAATATATACTGCGATGCGCTCAGCAATGCAGTTCTTAAATTCCTCTATGAGCATTAGTTCCCGGATCGAAGCCAGGTCAGTGGCTTTGCAGGCCGCACACCACCGATTGAAAAGAACACCTTTTTCCCTGGCGAAATCAAGATAAGACTGACCCCGTCCCCTTTTCAACCCCCGGAAACGCTGCCTATAGGCTTCTGGGACCAGCTCATAAGCCAGCAGGATAGCACTTTTCAGCTTGTCATAGTCCAAGCTGTCCTCAGCCGACAACGAGGAACAAACTTCTTGAGCCTTACCTGCCAGCTTACATTGGAGCAAAAATGGCCCACGAATCCCGTGGCCAGTGCAAGGCCGTGGCTATTCGTTCAAACGACTCGAAGCAGCTGTCGACCTCAGTGTCACGGAACATCGGAACCAGACGACTGTTTTTCCCTACATCAAACGGTGTGTCTGCCTGACGAATGGAGGCAGTCGGAGGAAGGGAAGCCTGCCGGAGTTCCAGCTGTCGCAACTTAACAGCTGTCTCTGCCTCCACCTTTTTTAATTCGACCTCCCTGGCTCTAGCAAGCTCTGCGTCTAAACGCCTAAGCTCCAACTCTTTCTTTAGCTGGAACTCCCTCTCATGATCCTCCTTTTCCAACTGGAGACGAGCCAGGCGTACACGGAGCTTAGCATCCTGCTTCGAGCCTACACTTGATTCAATGGAGAGAGGTTCGAAGCAAGGCAATGTCATGGGTTTGTCCTCAGGCAGCCCCTGAGCAACAGGTGTCGATACCAATGGACCTACAGCTTGAGCTGGCACCTGCGGAACAGGCTGAGACGCTGCACCATGCTCAAGTGGACTGGCAGACACTGGCAAGGCCACTATCCCTTTCTCCACCAAGCCAGACACAAGAGCAGCTTTCAGCTCAGCCTTACGCAGAGCTGTGGAGACAGAAATGCTATAAAATGTTGCCACCTCATGCAAATCCCTCTTCCTACAGGCGTCCAGTTGGACAAGCGAGGGGTTTTCCTTAAACACGGCAATATCAAAGGTAGCCATTAACTCTAAAACAAAAACTACCTGAGGCTAACAATAACAACAAAGAAGCACCACCTCCAATACACAAATGAAAAACAGGCGGGAAATGTGTGGCCACAGGTTAACCAATAAATAAAAATACCACCGACCCTCTCCCCAGACCTGCCTACTAAAATCTTAGCCTAGTTAGCTTCTGGAGTGTACCAGGCTCGAGGCAACTTTAAAGGCTAAGCATCAAGTGCACAAAGCACCGACAAGCCTACCCCCGACAGGGAACTGATCCCCACCCGGGATTACTCCGAAAATAATAAAGGAAAAATAAAAAATGAGTGCCTGAAGGAGGAGCTTACGCTCAGCTAGACACTCCCCTTTTGCTAACTGGAGAGAGAGCGCAGCAGATACAATACAACTAACCAGGCCACCGGCAAACAACCCACTAAAACTCAATTGCTGTCCTTCCATTCATATCCCGGACGAGCCCCCACATTGTTACGTTCCCCCCCGAAGGGGTCTAGGCATGTGAGTGAGGGGACCAGTAACAAATGAGTCCGGAATCAGAATGAAGAGGAAAACAGACAGAGTTGTTCTGTATTAATATAGCTTTATTACGAATGGTACAGGTGTATTACAAACGACATTAACTTAAAGAGCCGGCAACGCCATTTTACCAACAATGACAAAGAAACAAAGGAAACACTCGCAGCTAGTGATGTGTCCTGTGTGTCGAAGCTTCGAATCGTGCGTCGGGTAATCGCGGGGGCGTTTTTCTGAAGCGCGTATCGAGGCTTGCTTTGATTACGTATGCAGTGA